TTGCAGGGAAACACAAACACGGGCAACAAACATGAAACCAAAACCAAATACAAACCACAAGACACAGGAACAAGAAAATACATACAAATGAAACACTAGGGAACAAAATACAAAAACCGAAGAGGTGGGATTCGAACACGTGACGAAAGGGATTTGCAGGTAGCCACATGAGTCATGCGGCTGACAGGAAACAGGGGAAACAAAGACTGACAGGAGGGACAGGAGGGACAGTGATGTCTGCTGGCCAAACGGGGAAGGGACACAGAAGACTGAGACCACAGAAGCTGACCCTGACACTTGACTGGTTAATCTTTTCATAAATAGTTTCCCGGAATCTGTAGTACTTAGTAGAATCTACATGTAATCAAAATAAATTTTAATATTTCTGCAAAGTTTAGTACTGTAACCTACAGTGGGCTGGAACTGACTCTTTATTAATATGTGTATAAATGGTGTAAGAGGGAGTGAGAGTTAATCAGCCTGGTAATTTTCATACTGTCCCTGCAGGTGTGTCCACAGTGGGAGACATGACTGTACAGAGAGGAGGATCTGTCACCATCCCATGTTTCTATGGTGACAGATATAAAACTCATGTGAAATACTGGTGCAGAGGGTATAATGTGAGGTCATGTTCTCCCATAGTACACAGTGACTCTCCACAGGAGGGTAAAGTGTCAATCAGAGATGATCCTGACCAACAAGTCTTCACTGTGACCATCAACAGTCTGACAGCTGGGGACTCTGGTACCTACTGGTGTGGTGTGGAGATCAGTGGAGGTTCAGATGTTGGAGCATCACTTTACCTGTCAGTCAGTGATGGTAAGATGTCTGTACTGCAGACTGTAGCCAATGAGATGCACAGAATGTAACATGTCATTCAGTCAGAAAGTAAGGACACTAACACAGAAAGAATAAAAATATTTTGACGTTTAGTAAATATATAGAATAGATTCCAAATTTTACTTTTGTTCAACAGCATAATTAAGACCATTAAAAAGTAACAACATCAATTTAAATTAGTTGTCTTTCACTCTGCAGCAGGTTTGGGGAGCTAGTTACCCTCTAGCTGGTAGAGACTGGGGGCAGTGTGGGGGCCTCACACCTCCAGGCTTGTGGTTTCCATATCCGGCCCCCAGCTCTCTGTCCTTTTGTTTAGTTTTAGATGTTTATAAAAAGTATGGTTACATTAATATAAACATGTAACTGGCTCGTATTTTATGCATAGTGTATTTTATTTATGTATAAAAATCACAGTGTTTATTTCTAATCTGTGTGTTCAGGTTCCCTATGGCTCTCAGTGGACAAACAGGAGGTGACAGGTGTGGAAGGAGACAGCGTCAGTGTTCAGTGTCGCTATATAAGCAATTATGGTCTGAAGCTGTGGTGTAAGTTTGGGGGCTCCTGTGCATCAGAGAGATCTGGGAGTTTGGATGGGAGGCCTGTCCTGATCAGGCATGACAGAGTAAATAAAGTCTTCAGTGTGACAATGAGGAGACTGGAGAGGAAGGACACTGGCTGGTACTCGTGTGATGACAGATACCATCAGATCCCAGTTCATATTACTGTCAGTCAGACAACTACAACCACAGAATGTAAGTAATTAATTTAAATCTGTCATTGATGCTTCAGTATAAATAGATAAATGCTAAGTGACCACAACTGTTTCACTCATGTAAGGGGTCTTTACTTTTACTTTTTGTGGGACAATCTGGGGGGTGTGGCTGTATTTACCAGGGAATTACCAACAATCACCAGGGGGAATAAAGTAACGTAAAAGTATCTTTATCATCTTCTGCAGTTTGTTCCATGGATCACACACTATGATGAAATTACCATCTTGTTGGTCATAGTGCAATAATGTGATGAATAGAATATTAATATGAAAGACATTTAAAGACTGACAATCTGACTATTGAAANGGTAAGATGTCTGTACTGCAGACTGTAGCCAATGAGATGCACAGAATGTAACATGTCATTCAGTCAGAAAGGAAGGACACAAATACTTTACAATTTTTACTTTACAAATACATAAATATTTTGACATTTTTTAAATATATAGAATAGATTCCAAATTCTACTTTTGTTCAATAGGATAACTGAGACCATTGAAAAGTAACAACATCAGTTTAAATTAGTTGTCTTTCACTCTGCAGCAGCTTTGGAGAGCTAGTTACCCTCTAGCTGGTAGAGACTGGGGGCAGCGTGGGGGCCTCACACCTCCAGGCTTGTGGTTTCGATATCCGGCCCCCAGCTCTCTGTCCTTTTGTTTAGTTTTAGATGTTTATAAAAAGTATGGTAACATTAATATAAACATGTAACTGGCTCATATTTTATGCATAGTGTATTTTATTTATGTATAAATATCACGGTGTTTGTTCCTAATCTGTGTGTTCAGGTTCCCCAGGGCTGTCAGTGGACAAACAGGAGGTGACGGGTGTGGAAGGAGACAGTGTCAGTGTTCAGTGTCGCTATACAGATGATTATGGTCAGAGGATGTGGTGTAAGATCGGGGTGGCCTGTGTATCAGAGAAATATGTGAGTTTGGATGGGAGGCCTGTCCTGATCAGGGATGACAGAGTAAATAAAGTCTTCACTGTGACAATGAGGGGACTGGAAAGGAAGGACACAGGCTGGTACTGGTGTGCTGACAGAGACCAACAGATCCCAGTTCATATTACTGTCAAACAGACAACTACAGCCACAATCAACACTGAACGTAAGTAATTAATTGAAATCTGGCTGTGAATCATTTATGCTTCAAACTAATCTTTTCTATCTGGTCTATGTTTTTTGCAAATGATAATTTGGGGGGGTGTTACTAACAAGCTCCAGGGTGAATAAAGTAACGTAAAAGTATCTTTATCATCTTCTGCAGTATGTTCCATGGGTCACACACTATGATGAAATTACCATCTTGTTGGTCATAGTGCAATAATGTGATGAATAGAATATTAATATGAAAGACATTTAAAGACTGACAATCTGACTATTGAAACATAAAGAGGCCTGAAGCCCGAAGTAAATTTCCTATAGGGGGTTACGCCCCCCCAGGTCCTCCTGAAGCCCACAGTCGCTTCCTCGCTCCTGTCGATGTTTAGCAGCAGACTGTGGGCCTTGTATCACTCCACCAGCTCTCTCCCCCCTGTCTGTACGCAGACTCGTCTCCCCCCTCATGAGGCCGTCATGCTGCTGTCGTCTGCATACTTTATGATGTGGTTAGAGGTGGTCTTGGCGGAGCAGGCGGATGTCAGCAGTGTGAATAGTAGGGGGCAGAGGCAGCGGCCTGGGGGAGTTCCTGTGCTCAGACTGACGGGAGCAGAAGTGATGTTTCCTGCCCTGACAGACTGTGGTCTCTGTCAGAAAGTCCAGGGTCTGGTGGCAAAGTTACATTTTCAGCCCAAGATGGGACGGATTTTGAGTTAGTTGTTGTGGCATCACCATGCTGAAGGTAACCTTACGTAACAGTCTTTATTCTCCAGGCGTGTCAGTGTGGTGTGAAGGGCCGGGGTTATGGCGCCCTCTGCAGGCCAGTTGGGTGGTATGCAAACTGGTATGGATGAAGGGAGACAGGGAGGTTTGCTTTGATGTGTCACATGACCAGCCGCCCAGAGCCCTTCATTATGATGGAGTGAGAGATATGGGTGGATAATCATTAAGCCCTGGAGCAGCTGTCTTCTTAGGCACCGTATGACTGTGGCAGTTTATAGGCAGTTGGGGATACATGCTTGTCTGAGTGATGTGTTAAAGATGTCTGTCATGCCATCTGTCAGCTCATGGGCACAGTCCCTAAGAACCCAACCTGGAATATTGTCAGGACCAGCAGTCTTACGTGGGTTCATGTTACACAGAGTGTTCCTCACTTCCGCTGTGGATGGGTGGGGTGTCTGTTCCTTGGTGGGAGGGGTGCTCTTCTCTGCGTTGTTGTGTGATACATCAAACCAGGCAAAGAGCTAGTGAAGCCTGTCAGGGAGGGAGGGGTCACAATCCATGGTATATGAGGTGGTGTTGTATTCTGTGAAGGTCTGTATGTGATTAAGATTCATTTTATTCATCTGAGGGGGAAATTACCAGGGATACACAACGTATGCAGCGTTTTGGAAAAGGCCATGGATTTTTTTCGTGCGAAAGCCCTTCTTTTGAATCTGGCTGTCCTTAGTGACACCGGGTCACCAGACCTGAAGGCCACGTCCTGTGCTTTCAGCCTGCTGTGGACGTTCTCTGTGATCTAGGGCTTTTGATTGGCGTCATGTTCCTAAGACAGTCCTGAAGTGCAGAAGTGGCTCCTTCTGGCCAAACTCTGACCTGCTTGATAGTGACTTTGGACCGTGTCAGTAATGGTGTGCAGGCTGGTAGGAGCATGGAGGCTCTGTGGTCTGATTGGCCGAGGTGGGGGCTGGTCTTTGCCTTGTAAACCTCCTGAATGGTTGTGTACCCCACCTCCAGAATGACGTCCCCTCAGCTGAAGTCACAGCAAAGCTAAAGGGAATGTATTTAAATATCTCGATTAATCATAAGGAAATTTTTTGAACTCTTTAACAACTGTTGCTGAATATGGTTATTTATTGGGATTATAGATTCTATAGAGGTGCCATGGTGGCCCAGTAGGTGGCGCTGTTGCTTCACACCTCCATGTTTAGGGGTTTGAATCTGGCTTCTGCTCTGTGTGTGTGGAGTTTGCATGTTCTCCATGTGCTGTGTGTGTTTCCTCCCACAGTCCAAAGACATGCAGTCAGGCTAATTGGTGTCTCTAATAGAGAGTGTGTGTCTATGTGCCCTGTGACTGACTGGCATCCCGTCCAGGATGTACTTCATCCCTGTGCCCTGTCCTGCCTGGGATTGGCTCCAGGGCCTGCATCCCTGACCAGGAGGAGCAGATAGAAGATAGATGGGTGGATGGCTGTAGTTTTTTGTGCGTTGCCACAGATTTGACTAACTTCCCAGTCAGATACCCAATCAGACGTCTTTCATAATACATTATTTTGGACATATTGGAAATCGACAGACAGCCATATTCATGTTACTGTCATTTATCATGTATATATTCAAAGTATAAAATATTGGTTTATAGTGTCATGCAAATATTTTAGGCAATTTTCTTGCATGTAGGGATGAATTGTTACTAAATCTGTCAGACTGGCTGATGTGTCTGTAGATAGTTTCAAATCTCAGCAAGTGTTACAGCTGTACTCAGTAATAACTGATGCAGTTCAGTCATAAATACATCTTGGTGTGTAAATTAAATAATTAACCTCACCTGTTCACTGTCAGTGATTAACACTTTGGTTGTAACCTTAATTTATTATTCTGTATCCAACAAGCTACTGCAATATTGTTTTTAGAATAATGGGTAACACTTTACTTGATGGTGCACAAATAATACATGCCATTGCTTATGTATTAATTAACCATAAACTAAGTCTTAGTTACATATTGATCTCATGTTAATTCATCATTAATGAATCATGACATGCTTTATCTAAAGCAGTTACTATATCTGTTACTACATCTCTTAATTCTGTAAACCTTTCTGAACAACTGAAGTAACAAGTAACACAAGTAAAATACTGATCTCATGTTTGTTCACCACTAATCAATCGTGATTCATCTTTCATCACAAATAGCCGCAATATTTGTTCATGATTTGTGCTTCAGTAGTTACTGAGTTATTACTATATTACTTGTGCCCGTTTTATAAATGACCTTTTCCTTATGAGTCTTTCCTGCCTGACAAGACAGAGTTTTTCCTTTTCCCTCCTAATCAGAAGCCACTGTCTTTACTCCAGGTTCTGCTCCTGGATCGACCCCTACAGGAGCGAATGATAAGGAACAGAGGTTAGTATTCAGCTCGTAATGCTACAGCGTCTGACTGATCATACAGTAATGGGAAATGCATATCATTTTTATAAAAATAAGGACATTGTGTTTATATTATTTTTCTTAATTACAATATCCCTGAGACGGCATCCCATCTAGGGTGAGCTGCAGGCCTGTTGGTTGGATGTATGGATGGATTTTACAAAACAGTATAATGTAATCTAATAAACACATAACTGGTGCGAAAGTAATCATTAGCTGTATAAAGGTACAAATAAACGCTGATTTCTTGGCGCAACAGAGCA